ACCGCAAGGCCAGATGGTCATTGCTGACGCAACGAATCAGCGCACAGTCAAGGAATTTATCGATCTTTTCTGTGCGTTTAAATTTTAAGGCAAAATCCTGTGCACACACAAACTATTTCTGCTAATGTTCTGTGAGTATGTCTCTAATGATGAATCTGCGACGGATTTCGAAAAGTCAGACGAATAAAAATATTGGCCCAGCGATTGAGTCGTCTTCTATTTCTCAACTACTTCCTGGGACTTGCATGTTCGCTTGTATATACTGCTATTTTATTATATGACCTCGCGATAGTTCAGAAGCAACAAAAATTATTGAGTGTCTAGAATGAAAACAAAACTTAATACATCTATCAAAATTTGAATAGGGGGCCACTTAAGGTTTTTGGATGGAATCAAACCTCGATGAAGGCCAAATATAACAGTCGAAATAAAAGTCCTACCTCAAAGGCATTTTCTCCGTCGCCAGCAATGTAGTTGTAGATTTATCTTAGGTTTTTATTCACGATTGACTTTGATCTGAGATAAAAGAGTAATATAAAAATCCTTTTCAGGAAATATCGTACATAAGGCAGCGGAAATAAGTGAAAAACTAGGCAATGTTAAAGGGAAGCTCGAAAGTGTCTTTTGCATCAGTAGATGTACATGAGGATAGCAGCATACTCCCGTTATTCTTCGTTTCTGTCGATAGGAACTGTCCGAAAATGTGAGATGCCAGACCTGTCTCCCGTTTAGGCATCACATATATGTGAGGTCTTTAGGTCCGCTCTGGTTCCGAAACCGCTTCACAGGCCGCCGCGGCCGCGTCATACAGGGGTGGAGGGACATTCTCGCAGAAAATTGTTGTTATATTGCCTGGCGGGAAATAGAAGCAGACAACGACGGTTTTGGCCGAGGAGACAGCATTCTCATGGCCTTCGGCTGAAGAACTGCTCACGGCGAGATCCGAACCGGCGACCCGGATTGCACGCCCCACACCGATCTCCCGCGAGGAAGCCCAAATCAACTGGGTAAAGTTTCCTGTAGGAAGTGTTGTCAATCAGGTTATTTTACCGTTTAAAGCAAGCGTGTATACAACAGGATTTATTTGTACTGACAAATTTGGAGACAGTTTTTTTAAAAGTAAGTTGACTCTATTGTGAAAAACCTCGCGGCATTCGCGGGATTCGGAACCGCATAGGAGGAAAGACTTTCTGCGCAAGCCAATGCTCTACCTACCTGA